ACAGGTGCTCCGATGGCCATTCTGCGAATGGCCATCAGAGCTTTCTTGTGCAAGAGCGTCTATGCAGTGTGGATGCTCTCTTGAGCAAAAGCGCATCATTTTTGTGATGCACTTTGAGGGGTGGATGTGTTTTTGCACAAGAACTCTTCTGCAAAAAGACTTCTTGCACAAAAACCTTGCAGTGTAGACGTAGCCTTAGGGTCTGCTCTCTGTGACTGGGCCTCTTACATAGCTAGGTGTCCTCTCCACCACAGGGATGTTTGAGATATCTTATCAGTGCAAAAATGTAGTTATAGTCTAGAGTTGGCTTCTTCAGGGTTCACTGTATGAAATTCTCAGAGGTCAGGTGGATCTGATGGGAGTTGCATACCTAGATGTAACGACACTTTTCTTAAACTGTGTATTACAGCATTTTTAACATTATCTTTAATAAATTTTAATCTATTAAATGTCTAAAAAGGCCTCAGTCAGACTGTAATACACTGAGGCCGCCCTGTGACGTGTAAAAGGGAAAAGAGCTTTTCCTTAGGGCATGGGGCTGGGAGGCAAAGGTAATGTGCATGGTTGGTGCCATCTGAGATGACAGCTTTCCCACAAAGAATAAGAAGGGCTGGGGCTGAAAGGAAGCACACCCAGCCAGCGAGAATTCCTGCTCGTGGTTTGTACTACAGAGTAGCCTTTCCACCCACCACTCTAGCCCAGGCTATGGCTTTAAGCCACACAACCATGGGGTGCAACTTAGAAGCAGCAACCCGTGTATTAAAAGACCTGAACAGAGTAGGGCAAAGCTCAGTTATTTTTTTCATTGGCTGTTAGAGAAAACTAAAAATGTTGCCTCTGGCTGGGGGAAAGTTTTAGAGAGAGAGAGAGAGAGAGGTGAACCATCACATATAGAAGATCAGTGTGTCCTAGCCATTCCTGCCACCAGTTATACTCTGTCTTCATTACAAAGAGAAAGGTTTGTACATGGAGATGCAAAATCCTGTTGGAGACAAGGCACTGTCATTTTTAACTTTGGTGTAGGTTCTTTAGACCTTAAGTCCATCCTGTGCTTATCAGTATATTGGGCTACCCACATTCTCCATGCTTGCATATCAGCTGCTATGTGGCCTAAGTCCTCCCATTTCAAATTAAATTTGTCTATGTTGTTGATAATTGTATGCTTCCAACTCATCCTAGATCTACCCCTTGTTCTTGTTGGATATTCTGGATTCCTATTAAGAACCATAAGCGGTTGTTGGCTATGATCAATTTGTAACAAGTCCTAGCCACTGATGTCTCCTCTTAATTATTTGTGATGGAAGATCATGCTTTAGCCATTTTTCAGACCTTATCATTAATTTTCCTTTCCCCATACCTTACTCCTAATATTCTATGCAAGCACATCTAAAGTTTGAGCATATATTTTCTTAAGTTGCCAGGTTTCACTGGCATATGTTGCTATGGCTACAATGATGGCCGAATAGACATTTAGTTTCATACATAAGGATACACATAAAGTGTCCAAATAGTTTCTAAGTTTACCAAAGACTGTGTTTGCTTTGCCAATTCTTATTTTGGCAGAGCATGTACTATCTTGGCTTATTGTGCTTCCAAGGTATTTGAATCTATCTACCCTGTCTAGCTGTTCGTTGATTTTGATGTTTAAATCCGTATCTCCAGTTACCATGTTTTTACATTTCTTTACACTGAATCGTATCCTACCTCCTCAATAGTTTCTTTAACTTCATTTGTGCCTGCTTGAACTCCTTCAGCATTTTCATGTAAGATGAACGATGGCATCAGCAAAGTGGTTGAGGTGAAATCTAACAGTGCCATTTTTCTGCCAGAATTTTACATTGAGATCGTTCTCTCAGCCTGTGCATTGGGGTGTAAAATCCTCTTCATATCTAGCAGCAGTTGACTCCCTATTAGCCCAGGTGCAAATGACACATCCTAGGCAACAGAGAATGACCACTAGATTCATACACCTGGGGAGAACAGATTCTAAAGCTACTGAACAAATATATGGTGCAAAACAATGGTGGTAGTGAGCTAACATTAACATCTGTTGCAAGCTACCAGCCACCAAGAAGTGGGCCTGTTTAGTGACATAAAAGTAATTTTTCAGAGCACATACTTTAAATTATAAGGCAAATTCTCAATCCATAAGAGCATAACATGGTTTAATTAATGGCTGTCACTCCCCTGACGAATGCCATGATGCTTTTAAAGTTTCAGTAGTGCCACTATCTATCTCCAGGTGAAGGGAAACATACACACCCCAATTCCTTCTCAGAACAAAAATGCAAATATCAGCATGTTCATGCAAAACCTTTATTTGGAGAATGTCTATTGTTGGCCAACAGTGCCACCTGACTCACATGGTAGCATGGAAACTGAATTTACATTGTGCAGAAAAATACAAACAATTCCTTGAAGACATTCATCCTGTGATATTACACAAATATTGTAGTTGCTTACCTCTGTTTCCTCCCTTTATCCCACTGAATCACCTCTTGGCCTCTCTAGAGCAGAGATCAACAGCAATGATTTATTGTTGGCAATGAGATGATCCACATGCTGGAGCTCTCTAGAAATACTTCTTGCTTTATGTAAAGACCAACCCATGCATACTGTCTGGATTTTACAACTTATTTTCCACCCACTTTAGGAATTATTTGGGGGATGTTTCTGGTTATTTTCTCAATGAATCAAGAGTTGGACAACTAGGCTTTCTGCTCTTCAGAATGGAACATCCTTCATTTATTATAACACCTTTACAGTCCCATAGTTTCCTCTGGATGGGAAATTTCATTTTATTTATTTTCTCTGCTCTGTGTTGGTTACTTCAGATTTTTTACCTTCTCCCTGAACTGTAATATTGGGAGGCATGTTGCAAACCCAGTTGGCAGCATAGCTGCCAGAGAGCATGCAGATTTTGGTTTTGCTAGGGATGTCAGGATTCAACTTTTTCTTTGTTTCAAACAATTTACTTTAAATAGAGATTATGATAAACAGCCCTGATTTATTCCCATGTTGAGGCTTTTGGTGAATAGTTTCATGCAAGTTGGAAATAAGAGAATTAAATTGCAAATAATGTTCTATTATTTCAGCTTCGCTAAAAGAATCCTTCTAGTGGCTTCAGCAATTTAACTGTCATCTACAAGTTTGCAGGCACGTGCTTGTGAAAATTCACTCCTCAGAGTGATCCTAATTAAATTAGTGGGGCTCCTCATCTGAGTAAGGCTTTATTAACTGGTGCAAGAGTTGCTGCATCATAGCCCTACTATCTATATAACCAAACTGTGGGGAGCAGTTGAGCCCAACCTAATAGAAGAAACCAACTGTAGCAGAACCAATCAATCCATTTATGGATCATGTTCCAGGTACAGTCTACCAATCCTCTCCACTCCATTTAACACAGCTTAATCTACCCTTTTAGTTCATGCCTCCATTTGCATCTTTGGTCTAAAGAGAGTCCCATCAAGTAAAGAATCTTCACAGTTATATCAATTTAACCTGGGAGATCTGAATCAATGGCTAAATCTACCTTACAGCTGGGAACAAGGCCCTAGCGATTAACGTACCATTGGTTGATTTAGCAGGTCTAGTGAAGACCTGCCAAATCGACTGCAAATAGTTCTCAGGTCAACCTCAGTACTCTACCCCAACTGATAGGAGTAAGGTAAGTAAACAGGAGAGTGGTTACCATTGACTCAAAATACTGCAAGTAGTTAACCTAAGCTACGTCGACTCCAGCTACTTTATTAATGGAGCTGGAGTTGCTTAACTTAGGTCCACTCACTGCAGTAGTGCAGACGTAGCCTGAGCTGCAGCAACCATTACACAGTTTAAGGATTTTCTGCTAATCACAATTAGTAAAGCAAAATAATTTCACCTTCTTCCTGCCCCCTCCCTCACCACCTCTCCATTATTCCTCACAGAGAAGCTCAGCAAAAGTTAAATTTCTAATGCAAGCACTAGAAACACCTCAGCCAACAGGCTACATGTGTTTCCAAGGCAGCAGAACAGACTGTATCTATTACTGTGTACTTACCACACTGAAGAAACAAAAGCATTTTTACCAAATTCAGATATTTGCATATAAACAATCCTGCCAGACTGGAGATTTTCAAATAGTTACAAACTTGACACATTTGTATTACTTGAACATTTTAAACAGACTGTAAACAATCACTTTTCTTCAAGACAGAGTAAGTGCTGTAGTGTATGAAGTACTTCACTTACCTGGAATGTCTTTGCACTACTTGGAAGTCTCACTACCAGAGCTAAATTAAAAGAGCTTAGTAGCTCTGCATAGGATATTTGTGTCTGAATCACAGACAACCCTGCCAATACAATTCTCCTTTGACTTTTGCTTTGAACGACCTGAGATTGTGAAGGCTAAATTACCACACTGGTTAGTCCTATAAAGATTGTTGAGTTAATTTAATGGCTGGGTGAGCACTCATGCAAGTCCATGGCTGGGCATTTCAATTGACAGATTTCTTTGGCCACTAACAGACTTTTCCCCAAACAGGCTCCAATTACTTCAAGAGGACCTAAGCACATATTTCCTAAATCAAGGCAATTCTCTGCTGTCTCTATTTCCTTCCCCTCAGTCAGGTCTGGAACCTGTTCTAGAAAAAAACAGTGATTCTTTAATGGAAAATGTAAGTCACAAATTAACCCCAGACCTCCAGAACGATGGATCTGTGTGAGTGGCTGATTAGGCCTGCTTATAATCTCATTGGCTTCCACAGAACTCCACGTGGAAATAAAGGGCTTGCTCACTGTGTCCCCGATTAGACTAGGAGTCAACATAACTCCCCTTCATTTGTGGTTGGCAAAGGAGTGAACAATACAGACAAGCGGAGGAAGGAGCTGCAAGCAGAGGAAGGAGCTGCAGAAGATCACTACCCTTCTTCCCGACAGAAGAAAAGTGTCTGGAGATTTGAAGCTCTGACCTTCTTCCTGAAAGTGGCATTATTGCACCGGCAATGAGTGATATTAATGTGACTAGTTCTTTGGTTTTATTCTCACTTTGAAGCAGGACAGGAAAATAGAAGATGGTGGGTTCCTATAATGGGGTTCACATTCCTCTTGTGCGTGCCCCTTTGACCAATTGCACACATTTGCACTCCCTCTTTCTCTGTTTCTTCCTGCTCTGGAATAGAGACATGGCTCAGGATTCCCTTCCCGGAGACAATGTCCTTGCCCTCTTGGGGTACCTCGCTACAGCTCGCTCTCTCTGGGCCACTATGCTTCACTTCCCCCTCTGGGGTGTCCTAATGTCCACACCACTTCCTCCCAATGCCAAAAGGGAGTAGGGAGCATCTCAGGCCAGGGTCTCTGTAGATAGAAGCTATCTGCTGTGTCCATGTATTTAAATTCCACTGCTGTTCTAATTCTCTGAGTCACTTCCCCTTGGCCCTGCACCGTCTCTTGCTTCACAGCCTTGCCCAACAGAATCCCAGCAACCAGCTCAGGGATCTTTCTTGTTCACTCAGTCCAGGGCTCTGCAGCTCTGCCAGCCAACTAGCCACACGCCTATAGCTCTGGCAAGGAACTGGCTCTAGCTCAGCAAGTCTTTGTAGTAGCTTGCTGGGCCCTTATTGGCTACTTCTCACACAGCTTTTCCAGGGAGCTTGGAGGTCTCGGGGCCTACTCCACCTCATCACAGTTCTGAACTAACTATCTGGAGGTTTCTTCCTGTTGCTTTTTTATTTTTAAAGCAGGCAGTAATTCTTGTCATGCATATTTGGGAATGCCTGGGAATTTAGTGATTCCAGGTTACAAAAGCTATTCCCCCCCCAAAATCTGCTGTCTTGTTTACCCACAGGATGGCTGCAGCATGCATTCTTCCTACATTGGGATTTGGAGGGATCACCAAGGACATTCAGTGCCTGATGCTCGCTGTTATTCTGACTTGGTACCATTTTGCACCCTCACTGCATTGCTGTAAATGATACACAAGACTTAGGGAGAAGGACAAGCAGGCTCTTGCCTCCCTTTCCACGCAGACCTCGACCTTTCTGCTGAGACAACTCCACCACCATTGCTAGCACCTGCCACTTGGGGGATGGTTTTATACACATAGTAAGAAAGGCACAGAGACAAGAAACTGAACTCACTGCTTAACTTTTTATGAGGATCAGTTTGGGATGTTAGCCCCAGCAAGTAAAAGTGTCCCTAAGCTGAATGCTAACTGCATCTGGCAAGAGTCTCACATATAAAGCTAGCCACTTGTTCCTTAACAGGATACATGTACTATAGAAATATCAGACCACAGGTTTATGAGTAATACAATTCAAGAGTATATATGAGTATCATATCTTAATAGGAAAGGACATGACAAGTGTTATTAGACAAATATACTATGTTCTTAAAGCATTTGTACTATGGTTGTTTCAGCTCAGTCAGTCACAAACTACTGTACCGCAAAGTTTATTAACCTGCTGTTTACTACTCTTTAGGCAATAAATACCCCCTACTCTCTGGGTTCAAATTTCTTTTAGTGGTTGTCTTTTTTCATGTCCTGGCAATTAAACTTGATCCACACTCCATGGATTTACAGAACAGGTGTGTTGAAAAAAAAATTGTTGAATGCCCCCTGCCCAAATTTGCCAGAATAAATGGATTGTCCCAGACATGAACTGCAGGAAGATGGACTGGTGATGGATGGAAGTTTACAATCCTCTTTAAATCCAAGTTTTTGCCAGGCATCTCAGCTTTGATATTCAACAGTATCATTGACATCAAATGGCTCATTAAAAGAAAAGCAGAGTGTGATTCTTTACTGGAAGAGCAAGGGGAAAAGCTTATTTTGTAGCCATTATTAGCACAGAGATGGTCCATGTTGTTGCTAATGTTGAGCTGTCAATGTAGCCTAGTACGGTCTACAACTAGAGAAGCCAGATTTAGAAAGGAGCATAGAGATGGGTAAGATGCATACAGATTGCTCATAAGTATAGCTGGACAATATATCTGCAAGGTTCAATTCAATAAATTATACAATCACATTCTCTTTTAATATACAACAAACTTTAAAAAATTCCACAATGTTCTTATGTTATAGATAAGAAGTTCTTGCTGCCAAAAGCACAGGATGTGTTTTTGTCTGTTTTTCCTAACTTACAAACCACCCAAAAATTAATATTTCAGGAATCTGAAATGTTTAAAAAGATAAGGTGGTTCTATAAAACAAGAAAAAAGTTAGTAACAAAGCCCTTTAAATTCATGAATAAATTGTCAAAACAACATCAGCAAACAACAAGATTTTTAAAAAATACACAGAGGTGGCCATAAAGGTTTTAACACACAAACATTGTGCCAGTTAATTCAGTATTAAACACAGCAGAATATACAGGCTTTTTATACACTCTTTAATTTTTGTTCAAAAAGCCATATATTTGAATGTCACAAAAGAAGTTGTGCAAATCTTTGGTGATGCCCACTGGTGAAGCCCAAATTCCAATGACAAATCTGACCCTGGTTTATTTACCACATTAGCCCAATTCAAGGCCAAAGTACATAAAAATGTTAAACAAACCCTGGCATTTTATCAGAGCTGCTCACAGACATTGAGACAGGGTCCCAAACCCACTTTTGGTAGTTATAGCCAGTGGAATGTTATGGCGGCACAGATGGTTCTTAGCTGTGTTCTCCAAAGAGTTGTTGCACAAAGACAAGCCAACAGATGAAAGAAAAATACTGTAGAAGTTAACGTTGTACTACATATGCATACATATACACTGATTGATCTTTTCACAACAAAACAAAGTGGCAGTACTGGATATGAGGCCATATGGAACATGCATTAAGATACATAAGTGACCTCTCCTTCGTCTCTTGTCAGTCAAAAGAATTCTTCTTAAAATATAATATTAGTAATAATACTTCTTTATACTGACCACTTAATTGTTTACATCGTAGAAAAATAGACAGTATTCTGTAACAAGAAATATAGTTAACTTTGTTAAAATGGGCTATTTTAAACCAGCAATTATGTCATATAAAGAATTTCTTAACAGCAAAACACAAATAGATAATACTGAGTGCAAAACAGCCAGTGGTATTGTTTGCATTGGTTCAAAACACTTAGTTGCTAGCTAATGTAATTACATGTTCTGTACATTGTACTACAAAAGTCTTGATCTTTTGGGAGCTTGGGGAGTTTGCTTTTATCTTCCTCTACATTTGGCAAGCAAATAAAGAATTCAATCAAAATTAATTCAAAGTATGGAAGTTCAAACTGATTTCACAATCAATTCATATTCATTCCCCTCATTCCAAAGCATTTCCCACCCCCTCAGTGCAACAGCACTTATGACTCATGTCTTATGGCCAAAGATTCTTCAACTTAACCAGGGTTTAGGCTTTAGAGATCAAGAAGTTGAGCTTATAAATTCACATTCCTTTAAAATCATTTTACTAATCTCCTGTGTTCAAATTTACACAGAATAAGCTCGAAAGAGTAGCCTCATCAAGTTTACCATCCCAGCTGCCAACTGTTAAACACAGTTTAAATGAAAACTTTCCCAAGTGTATGCATTAAGTCTTAAAGCTACAAAAACCAGATGGTACCCAAGAAAGAGTCAGTTTTCTGTGATCACCACAAAGCAGTTATGTATGAATAATTAGGTTCCTATTGGCAGTAGTAAAGGCTTTATCAGAATACCATAAACACCACAAATGGAGGAAGTTTCCATGTGTTAAAACACAGAGCAAAAAACCAGCAAAACATTCTTAGGAAAGCAGACATCTCTAGATTCTCATCTGTGTTCATCTCACACCCTTTCAACCCTGGAGGGATCATACGAATCTGAAAAATGCAAGACAAGAAAACCATTAGTCATGGGTTCTGAAATCTACTGAAGTTTAGTAGTACGTGTAGCTGGCAAGAGAAATAAGACAATATTTTCTTAATTTAAAAGTACAGAAACACCCTCTTATATACACTACCTCTTTTGTAAAAGTCAATTTAAAAATTAAATAGTTAAATAGTTAACTTGCAATTTTTTTTTACAGTGTGTGTGAATTCAGTGCTGGTGCCAGACAGAGCCCTGGAGATGCAAATTCTTGACAAGAGCCAGATTATTGTCCCATTAGCCCCTATTCTGATCTGTGATTTGGGAATAACTCCACTCAAGTCAATGGAACTACACTGGTGTAAAACTTGTGCAGATGAGATCAGGATCTGACCAACCAACTAGAGAAGAAGTTTTGCTATTTTGCCATTGAACTGAGTGGAATCAGGGCTTGGTCCCTAATGGTATGTCTATACTGTGCCTGGAAACGAACCTGCCAGTCATGGGGAACCCTCTTACATCTGCAAGGAAGCAAAACTTCTCTCTTTGCCCTATTCTAGCAGCATTGTCCCCACCATGTGTGGTGGTACCCAGATGGGAACAAATTGTACAAGATGGCAATAGGGGTTGAGTCACCTCTGATTTCCTCTGGCCTAAACCAGGGCACTTAGATTGTAAACTCTCTCGGATTTACAATCTGGATTTTTTGTTTTGTGATTGGACAGTGCCAAGCACAATGGAGTTCTGGAAAATCACTGGGGCTCTGAGGCACTATAGTAATACAGATAGATCCAGCCTGACTGGATCTATCCCTGAAGCAGTGTACATTAGAAGAGCTCCTATGGAGGCTCAGACTACATCTAGACTGCAGCTTTTTTCCAGAAAAAGGTGCATACTTTTTTCTGATTGTTTTTTCGGAAGAGGCTTTTTTGAAATTTGGCCCATCTACACTGGGCCAAATTTTGGAAAAAAAACCCTCTTTTGGAAGAGCCCTTCTTCCTTGTGGGAGAAGGAAGACAGAGTTTCTGAAAGAGCGTGTCTGCTCTTCTGCAAAAAAAGAAAGCGGAAGAGCAGACATGTTCCCTGGACGCGGCAGAGAGAAAAACTCCATAGTCTAGACATAGCCTCAGCTCATGCTCTCATGCCCAGCAGAAAATCTCTAGGGAGATATACACAGGAAGCCTCTTTGAAACACAGTAAGTGCTAACTGGTGCAGAGAAGTTGAATTTGCCTACACAATGAGTTTGGAGCATATGGTGTAGCGCAAAGAGAAGAAAAAAAATCTGGGATGGAGGATGCATGAAATGAAGACTAAGGCCTGAACAGTAGGAGCTGGGGGGATTCTAATGCCTACTTAGAATTCATGCAATTCATTCCTGGGGCTGGAATGGGAACAAATAAAATCCCTCTAAAGTATGGTTGAGTTAATCTCCATCTCACGGGGGAATTTTACACAGATTTATACTGACTCAGTTAAGTAGTGTTTGTGAATTTCAAGGCAGGGGGAGGAGGGCTTCAGCCATTAGAGAAATGTGAAAAACAAAAGAAACTAGATAGTAAAGAAAAGATAGTATTGCGTTATCAACTTGCCTACCAAGTCCTTGTCAACCTCCTCCTGGCTGTGGCAAAGATGGCCATTTATAAGACCAGGGAGCAGAGGTTGGCTAACCGAGGGGCCTGTGACTGTGGGGCCCTTTTGTGCTCTTGTATCCATTCATGCATCTTGACACAGTTCCATTAGGTGACATCCGCAGGCTCTCTCAAGGCTTCTGACGGGTTAGGGGTGCCACTTCACAAATTTTGGAAGTGGGCGCAGGCTGACCTGGAAGGGGTGGGGCCTCGGGCGTGGTTGAGAGCTACCCTACCAAGAGCTTTGCTTGGCCTGGAACCCTTGCCCCATGACTTCTGGCCAATGGAAGAGACCTGGAGCTGATGGGAGGGTGCTGGGGGCTAGACTCCTCCCAGAGTCACCTGGGGTGAAGGCTTAGAATTCACATAACATGGCTGGCAGCTCATGGCCTTGCTGCTAATCTGTTGCCTGGCAGCTGTGTGGCAGGCACAAACCTTTTGAATAAAAGCAGTTGAAAGGGCCCGAGCCTCCCAGGCAGCTCCCAGGCAATGAGCCAGTAGAACTGAGAACCATGGGCCCTTTCAATTGCTTCTGTAAAGGGCTCGTGCCTGCCGGGCTGGCAGGCAACGTGGCCGCCCAACAAGCACGACCCCTTTAAATAGAAGCAGTTAAAAGGACTCGCGTGTCTCCAGCTCCCAGGCAATGCGCTAGGGGGTGGGGCCTGGAATTGCCTCGCAGCTCATCCTTGGACTATAGAGATCTATGGCTACACTTCTCAAGTGTGCCCATTCATTTTATTACCAGATCACCATGTTCAGAAGACCAGATGTGAGCTGTTTTTGAGGGCTGATCAATTCCTAGGTTAGACAAGACTATCCTTGACCCAAGGAACAGTGGACTCCAAAGCATACACTGAAAGATTTGCCCTGGTGATATTGATTCTGAAACATTTTGTATAATGTCTCATGAATATTATCAAAACAGTTTCTACCACAACCATTTAACTCTTTTCCCAAGACTTCAGCCTACAGCAGCAGGTTTATACTTTGTTTCTTCTCAGTTCTGATGTGTTGTGTTCTTATTTACTGGAGAATAAAAACCTGGACATTCACAGAAAGGGTGGGATGATAATGTGTCCTGGGTGGGAGGGCAAAACCAGGGCAAATGGTGTGAAATTTCATTTTATTTTTGAAATGTGCAGTGTTCTGAAACCATTAGGTAACGGAAAAGTCCTTCATGAATGAGCTTCAGTATTCAGAATCCAAATAGCTGCGATAACACAGTGAGCATTATCCTCTGCAAGAAAACAACTGTTTATTGACAACTAATCTGCTCGTATTACATTACAATACTGGTAGCTCTAGTATATGGCAGCAGGTACACAGGAAGATTATTTTTTTTGAGGATACCACAGGGGGAGTTGATGTTTTTAAACAGGGAATGTACAAGTAATGCTGTGGCACCTTAGAGACTAGCAAAAGTATATATAATATCACATGCTTTCAGGGGCTTTGCAAATATTTTTTTTAATTATGTTCATTTGTTAGCCTCTAAGGGTATGTCTACACTACCACCCTAGTTCGAACTAGGGTGGTTAATGTAGTCAATTGAAGTTGCAAATGAAGCCCAGGATTTAAATATCCCGGGCTTCATTTGCAACTTCGATTGACTACATTAACCACCCTAGTTCGAACTAGGGTGGTTAATGTAGTCAATTGAAGTTGCAAATGAAGCCCAGGATTTAAATATCCCGGGCTTCATTTGCAACTTCGATTGACTACATTAACCACCCTAGTTCGAACTAGGGTGGTTAATGTAGTCAATTGAAGTTGCAAATGAAGCCCAGGATTTAAATATCCCGGGCTTCATTTGCAACTTCGATTGACTACATTAACCACCCTAGTTCGAACTAGGGCGGTAGTGTAGACATACCCTAAGGTACCACAGGTCTACTTGTTGTTTTTAAAGTTACAGACTAACATGGCTACCCCTCTGAGACTTATTCCCTTTTAAAACAGTGCCCAACTGAATCCCAGAGAATCGTAAAACTGGGCCTTACCCAAACAAAAATCTCGGTCAGTCTTTTTCTTGCCCATCGCAGTTATGTGTCCATTTTCACTGAGAGAGATGATGCGCTTGGAAACAGCACCTGTGTGCACCATTTTGCGAGAGAGTTCATTACCGCTGATTGGGGCACAGCTACCTCTCTCCTCTTGTACCCTCAGTGGTTTCTCTTCATCTACTTCCTCCCCTGAGTCTGCACTCTTGATACTCAGACGCCGCATACGGGAAACTGAGTCAACTTCTTTCATTCGCACCAAACGATCCATAACAGTTCGGCTAGGGGGAGAGGCAAGTTTACCTTGTAATGTTTCAATCACCTTTGAGGTGCTTCTGACTCTCTTTTCTGAGCTTGGAATGATCACGTTTCTTTCAGCAAGTTGATGTGTAACAGACTTGCAAGGCTGGTCTGGATCCTTCTCTTGCCTGTTGGGACCTATATATGGTTCAAAACCTTGCTCAGTTATCAGAGTTTTAGAATTGGTTTCTTGGTCAGTGCTCTGACGATCACCAGTCCAAAAGGAGACATTGCGCTCTCCAACAAAGAAAGAGCTTTCTGTCCAGCCACACTTTCGTCTGCCCTCATAAGAGCAGTCTTTTGTTTCTACTTTGTCACATACTGTTCCACTTACTGGTAATTCAGGATCCTGGACACCATTTGCAGGGCTGGGGTTTTGGTGGAGACCAGTTTTGTCCCCAGGAATTAGAGACTCGACTGCTACCTCTATACCCAGAATCCTTGCAGCTCTTGCCTGCAGCGACTCATTTGGGGGGATCTCCATTGCATTTGCAGAAAAGTCAGAGTTTTTAACACCAGGCTCAGAATCAATATCTAGTCCCACAGACCTCAAATCTGGCTCAGAATGACCTTGATTTCTATTAGTTAAAGACAATCTCACTATAGAGCCTCGCTCTAAAGGTTTATCGTTTCTGGGACTTGAGCTTTTGTTCCATTTTACAAAATCTAATATATTAGCTATGTAATGTCTATCGTCCTTTGTCTCCAAGTCCACATGATTGAATGGATTACTCGGATGTACATTACTTGGACTACTGGATAAAACTCTCCTGACTGGGCCTAAACTAGCTCCGTGTTTGTTTATTCTGTTCTTGGCTTCCTGTTTTTTTGTTATGACACTTCCATCTGCTGGCCTAACTAAACTACTGTTCTCTTTCGCACTCAAGGAGCTTTGTGATCCAGCACAGATATACGGATCATCAGACTTAAACTCTGTACTCCAACTTTCAGACTTACTTTTAACTCTTCCTTGTCTAAATACAGGAACTTCTGGTACCACAGTTTTTAGCTTCTTACAAGGTCTGAGTTCCTGAGTTGATTCACAAGTTGTGAAGGTTCCTGTATTTGTAGGAACACTTTCCTGCTTGGTTCCCTCACTCTCCACACCATCTTCACTACTAGTACTTTCTTCCTGCCCTTGAAGCTCCTTGTTAAAACTTTCTAATTCACTTATTGCATCCCAGGGACGGCGACCCACAGGTTTCAAGAGAAATTGTCCAAACAGTTCTTTACTATTGCAGGGAGCACTTCTCTCACCCTTGACAACATCACCAGTGCCAATTGCACCTATTTCCCCTTCCTGAGTTGGTAAGTTTGTGCAGGACCCATAAGGCTGGCTCTGGTAAGCCTTTGGTGAATGTACCTGAATTACAGAGGTGGCAGTCCTTGAAAATGCACTATTGCTGGAGGGACTCAGGTTCATCTGACCTTTCATATTGTATGTATTCTGCCTACACCTCCTGTTATTGGGGGGTAAATCTGCCTGGTCTGACCCAGCCACAGATGTTGTGCAGGACAAGAATTTTGGAGACATTAGTTTATTATTTGGTTGCTCAGGTTTTATGCCATGGAAGAAGCGTGAGCTTTTAGGGTCTTCAGTGAAACATGTCTGTGTTTGCTGGTCTTTGTACTGATCACCTGGCCAAGAGCCAGAGTATTTGAGTTCCCTGTGTTTTGTAGTCTGAGTAAAACTGAGGTCATTCATTTGTTTGAACTCCTCTGGTTTCCACAGCTCTTGTTTTTGTAACTCAGTTTTATTGGTCATGCTTCCTGTGAGAGCTTGTAACTCCAAGTCAGTGGAAGACATACTTAACAGACTTTGTTCTTGCAAAGCTCCATTGTTATCAAACTCATTCTTCTTATCAAGGCTTTGGGTTAGGTTATTGTTCCTATCCGTATCTGGCAGATTTGATTCAGATTTAACTGGGATGGATACCAAACAAAATATAGTTTCATTCATTTTTTTCTTTGAACTCTTTTTGGTCTGCATCCCAGTTCCAGGTTCAAACTTTTTAACTCTAGTAACAGTCTCACAGGTGCTATCCATATGTGGGTTTCTTACAGAAAGGTTGCCCTTTGTATACTCCTGATTAGTTTCATTCATGGAGAGGTGATTGCCTGTGTCACGGCCATCTCTTTGGTCAGGCTGGGCCCAGTTTTCCTGATCTCTGTTGGATGCTGCCAACCACCTGTTGCTATGTGTGGTACTGTCAGGCATTCTCTCACCTTTTACAGTATTTAGTAAACTTGATGGATCCAAAAAGGCACTATTAGATAGTTCAATAGCTCTCTCCTGAAAAGCAGTAGGAATGGTTCTACATGTATTTTCAGTGTATTTAGTATTGTCCTGGAGGCTCTCTGGATGTGCTATTTTAATATGCCGTATTCGAGGATCATCAAAAGGAATATACTGAATGGAATGCAGGTAGTCATCAGTGTGCCTGGAATGGCTTTGTTTTCCATGAGGATGGTGATCATCTTTGCAGTGCTCACCCCCAGTTTCCAATGTACTAGTGGAGGGCGGATGGCTGACAACTGTCCTTTCTACTGGATGCCACTGACTGCTGTCAAAGTACAAGTCATAGTTAGGCACTTCACTGAGGGAATGCTGATTCACACTTAGTGGAGGTGGGGACTTATAAGATGGCGGCGGTACATAGACAGGGGGTTCTAAACCAGGGTCTGGAATGGAAATGTCTTGCTTCAGCTCATTTCCTTTGGCTAAACATGAACTGGGCTCCTCTGTTTGCTGGTGGTCCTGCAAGCCACTGGTTTCTATAGATGCCCTGCTCTGTCGGTGCAGTTCATAGGATGGAGGTTTAAGGGGTCTGCCATACTTGGGCTTGGCCAGAGGAAGAAGATGGCTTCCAGTTTCCCTGGGTTTTGCCAGTTCCAAAGGCAGTCTGTTTTGGGGACCGGAGGGTGCTTTAGTGCCACTTAGAAAGTGATGATTATTCACCAGGGAGGGAATTTCCACACACTTTAGGGTCTCCGGTGAAAGAACTCTTGGCAAGGACTGTGATTTCCCTTTGTCCTGGGAGCTAAGTATGTTGTCTCCCAGAGTCAATGAGTATAGATCTTGAAGCAGTTTCTCTCTATCACCTTCAGACATTTGTCTTCCTAATGTTTTAGGTTGTTTCCAGCTTTCAGTTCTTAAACTTTGCCATTTGTAATCACCAGGCGCTTTCCAGGTCTCTTGCAAGCCACTTCTTGTCACATTCTCTGTTCCTGCACCTACGTCCAGCTGACTTTCTTTAGCATGTCTGTACACCCCATGGGGTGGTGCCAATCCTTTCATTTCAGAGTCTCCTTTGTCAGTGTAACCCAGCAGTACGCTGAAGTCTTGTCCTCTTCTTCTCCAGTACGCCAAATCTTTGTCAGTCTTGGGCCCCGAAGACCATGCTAACTGAGGTCTGTCATAAAATCTGCAAAAGAAATTCAGCGTCACAGGCAAGCTATAGAAATGCAGTCTCTTTCCTTTATAGGGAATTTTATTCGAGGGTCAAATGCTGAATTATGCCAATAGTGTTTCCACTTAGTTTCTATAACTCATTCACAACCATACATCTTTAAAACGATCTTAGTAATTAACATACACAGTTTCTCACAAGTAAGGAAGGAGGCTAAGCTATATTCACATGCATGTTAGCATGGCATTTATTTGTTGTGTAGATATATAGAGACCTATTGAGTATATAATATAAAAACTGAACTGACTATGTTAAACAAGGTTTTGAACCCTACTATCTGCTCTCAGATACAGAAAAACCTACTGACTTCATCAGGGTTGTACAGGGGTAGCAAAGCATAAGATAAGAGGACTCTAGGTTCAAAAGAGAAACAGCACTAGAGTCTCAATGTAAATTTCGGTAAGAAATAGAATTTTGCATCACAGCACAAGGGTTAAAAGTGAAGAAGAGACTAATTAGATCTTTGTTTTAAGGAATAAGTCTCTCTAGAAGTTTCAAAATGTATCATTGTAGTATGTATCATTTTATATCACAGTTCTGATGAAATTGAGCATCAGGTTAATTTTTATGTGTAACTTTTTACATTTTAAAAAGAGGATGGATCCATTCTAGCAAAAACACATCACTGAAACATGAAAAAGGAGGATAAAACAACGACAAAAAATTAGTTATCAAACTTAAAGATTTCTGAATTAAATCCAGCAGACAATATTAGATTCTTCCTATGTTTCCAGAGATAGTATGAAATACTTTACACAGTATTCCAAAGGAAAATTGATACTTTTTACATTAGAAGTTTATATTTTAAACTGTGGTCCTGCTATTCTTGTAAATAAGGTGTCCAAAAATCTAACTTCCATTATTTTACTGTGTAGCTGCCACCAGCATAACACAAGAGAAAAATCAAAATTGACATAAATAGGACAAGAATGTAGATGAACCCAAGAATTTCCTTCCTCCTCTCCCACCCCAAGTTATATGTAGTCAGTCTGCTCTTGCTTGCTGCCAAAAAACTAAATCTTCTCACAAAAAAGGTTTAAGTAGATAAAATTCAGAAATCCTAGTGAAATGGGATGCAATCCACATTCAGAACACTCTTCTTTTATGTATGTGAAGTTTATCCTATCAAGCAAAATGCTTAAAACAAATTGGGATAGACTATTTTTGTTTTAAGTATGATGGATTAAAACCCACTGTCTGAACAGAAAAGTTTCACCATATAAAATGCAGTGTGCAATATGTTTTCTGGATCCTGGTTGATATTAATCCATGGGATAGAACAGGACATAGCCTATACTGGAAGTTTTACCACAGAGTGAAAGCCACTATCTCTTTCAGCATGAGAAGCTTTGCAGTTGAACGTGAGCTGCAACTCTCTGGAGATTACCAAGGTCATTTCTGCTACCTTTATGTTTTCTTATAATGCTGTCGTGTAGCAACTGACTAGAGAGATTACTGTGAGTGACTAGGTCTAGGTAACAAACAAGTGAGGCATTGTTCTGTGCAACATCTGGTAAATGACAGGAAATATATGGAGAGATCAGTCATGCTAAACTTGTGGTGTCCAACCAGTTCTGAAGCAACTGGCCAAATAGCCACACTTGGCTTGCAGCTAGTGTGTTGGACACCACGGTGCTAAACTATTAAAACACACATTACAAAGCCACAAGCACTATTTATTCAAGTTTATAGAACATCAAAATCACTGAAGGGTCTTCTAGACAGTAAAGTAACGAACTTGGAGGTTAGTGATCGCTGTTATTGAAAATGGATCAGTGAAGTTCCCTGGCTTAAAAAAAGCAAAGTTTGTGAATAACTGTTGGGAAAGTGTTACCTAGATTCCTAGGGGGAATCCACCAGAAAACAAAAGAGCCAGCCTTCAATGTACGCAATTATGTGAATGTCATTAATAAGGAGGCAGGATTTTTCTCTCTTCTAAAGCCCATGTTATTACTAGAGAAACAATTTAATCTCATTGTTTACAGAAGTTGTTTAAATAATATTTTGTCGTTATAGTAACTAATGAAATTCTACATATGATGTAAAACACCATACTGAAGATCTACATTATGTCATCATAACAACTAGAATTCAAAAAGCATGCTTAAGGAAAGGTAACTTTTCATGTACATTAATGAGGGAGAGAACATTATTCAGTTAACATCATGTGACTCACTGCAATTAGATTCAGGAATGAGGACAGTGGAGGCTAGGGATGTGACAGTGGAGGCTAGGGATGGGAATGGTTAACTGTCAGGGGCTGAAGCAGCCCTGTGCCCACCATGGGCAGGGGTTGCTCAAGCCCCGTAGGGTCTGCCACAGGTGGGGGGGCACTCCAGCCCAGCTGGAGCAGCCCCCACATGTGCCGCTGGGCCCAGCATACCATGGGCAGAGGTGCTCCAGCCCGGGTAGAACAGTCCCCACCCATGGTGGGCTCAGCCTGACCAGACCAGTGTGCCATGAATGGTGGCACTCCAGCCCGACTGTGGCAAGTGGGGGCACTGCTCCAGCCCAGCTGGGCTTGAGTGGCCCCCCGCTTAGCCCTGTGTAAGTGGTTAACCAGTTAAACATAACATTTAACTAGTTACTAGGGATGTAAAATCCTGTTTAAATTAGTTAGAGGCACAGGTAAAAATGCATTTAATGGTATGGAGAAAAGTCTTGGGAGAAAAGTTAATCTGCTTGATTGAAACATCATTCATGTTATCTTGTTTAGAGAAAGCAATTTTAAAATCTTATCTCCTCCAAACCTCCTGGTCAATTTCTCGTTAGAGAAAAAAATAGTAGCAGGGTAATAGAAAAGAAGGCCTATGACTGTACTTTGATTTAAACTTAAGATGCATTCAGGAACAGCACCGCATCTACCATGACAAGTAATAGTAATCTTTTAGGCTACGTCTAGACTGCAAGCCTCTTTCGAAAGAGAGCGTCTAGACTGCAACCAGTACTTTCGAAAAAGCAAGCCGCTTTTTCGAAAGAGAGCACCCAGGCAGTCTGGATGCTCTCTTTCAAAAAAGCACAGTTTGCATTACATAGTGCCTTTTTTCAAAGAGCACTTTCGAAAAAAGACGTTATTCCTCGTGAAATGAGGAGTACCACCGTCGAAAGAAAAGCCGCATTCTTTCGATTTAATTTCGAAAGAACGCAGCTGTAGTCTAGACACAGGTGAAGTTTTTTCGAAAAAAGGCTACTTTTTTGGAAAAAACCCTGCAGTCTAGACATAGCCTTAGTCTACCTGGCAAAAATAGCATTGTCTGGTTGATCTTACTACATTTAAAAGGCAAAACCGCAGTTTTCTGGGACCAGGCGCAAGCTGGGATAGCTGAGTCCCTGGTGGCTCTTACTATGTTTAAAAAGCAGAGGCGCAGCATCTGGGACAGTCCTGGCTCACGCTGGATCCCCCGCTGAGCCTCTGCTTCCCCTGGCTCTTGTGGAGACTGGCTTTTAAGCCAGCTTCCCCCATCACTGGCTCCTGCTCCCCCACCTTGCTACCTCTGATACAGAGGCAGTGAGGGGAGGGTTGCAACTAATTGGGTAGTGACTCGACTATCAAACAAGCCTAGATTTATCAGGGAGTCGACTACTCACTTATATTCCTAATCCAGGGCACTCTGGTCATATCCACATCTGAGACTATAACTGAACAGCTATCATGGTGAGAATGATCAAAACAACATCACCACTTGCTGTGCAATTCTGCCCTACGCTACTTGGACTATACTGGTGATGCAAAAGTAAAAAAATTATAGAATACATCTGTCCTCTGAAAACCCAGTCCTTTTTACAGCATCTTCAGCTGGGTGTCCAACCAGAGAGGCACAAAAAACCAAAACCAAAACCCAGACTTAAATACAGTGGCCTACATTTTCAACAGAATAAAAATAAGGAAAGCTTGTTACCCAATCTATTAAGAGCTTGGAGAGTAGGATCAAGAGACTTATTCTCCATTCTGCTTGTGGCTTGCAGGTTAGCCATATTCAAATCCTTTAGCCTCCTGATGTCTCAGTTTTCTCACGTGTAAATGTGCGCTAATTCCCACCTTTGTAAAGCACTTTGAAGTCATGGGATAGAAGTACTGTACGAGTTTTAAATATGCCTTACTCAGGACCCAAGCCTGCAATGCTTACTCCCTGGTGCTGTAGTGTTTAGTCACATAAGCATTAGAGGGGAAGGGACCCATGAGAGTATCACGTTGGATGGTGTTTATGTAGGCATGACCTACATGATAAGTACCTATAGCTAGTACACCTGTGCTGTCAAGCTGTCTCTCTCAAGAAACGTGTGAAATATTGGGGATCCAAGTTTTTGATTACTTCCCTAGATGTGGCGTGAATTAGTTCTATCTGCCATCATACTGATGATAAACTTTTAAACACAATTTTGGAAATTTTAAAAGAAAAAAAGAGCAACCGTAGAAGTATTTGAACTCAGTTCCTTGGCAAATAGAAGGCCAACACTATGCACTGGTCATCATGCATTCTGCAGTTTACAGGTTTCCGTAATTTACTGTATCCCAAGATTGGGGCAGTTCCACCAATCATGGATCAGCAGGGATCCTAGAAATATGTTCTCTGAAGAAAAAAAAATGGAATATTTACTTTTACAGAGAATATTTAGTTTTTATATTTTGTGAAAAAAATAAAAGCATATATGATTATCAAGCAAGCTTTATTAAAAGGTCCAGTGTCACTGAAAGTACCATGTGGGACTGACTGCCAGAGCCCTGTCAAGCATGGGAAACTAAAGTTCAGCATTTCCTTCTAATTCTGGAAAAACATGGATTTTAGGTTGTTTTGATCCGAGAATTTTGTTTTTAATCACAGAAAACCAAGATCAATGCCAGTGGCACAGTTAGAGCAGGAAAACTGAATGGGCTTTGACTTGCTGGTGGGCAGGCAATGATGGGGGGAGGAGGGTTGGAGAGCCCCACTTCCCCCGGTCCTCTCCAGCCAGCCTTTACTGCTCAGCAGTCCCCAGAAGATGGGGCTGCCTGGGGCACACAGGCTGCGGGACACACCAATAAGGGGCCCAAGAGCCACCTACCCCTTCTGCCCCTGTCTTGGTGCCCATTCACTCCACTGGCCACATAACTGCTTTTGCTCTCACTGTGGGTTGCTATCACGGTCTCTGGCCCCAACGCCAGCCCCTCCTAGCCCTGCCCCCATGAGGCACACTTCCCGCCCGGGATGACTCTCCCACTCCCAGCCTGTGTGTTCAAGGAGCTCCAGCTTCAATTTGGGTGGGCTTGGAGGCCAGGTCCACTTGGACTACACCCCTGATCCATGCTGTTGAGATGCAGCTCAGGAGAAGAGGAGCAGCGTTCAAGCCCCACCACTATTACTTTTACATCCACTGCCCCAACTGGTCAGAGAGGAGTCATGTGACCTTTGTTCTACTGTCCCACGCTGAAAGGCAGGATGGATAAAGAGCTTCAAAGACTTGGCTGCCCGGGTAAGGAACAGTGGAAGCCCCTAAAAGTGGAGAGTCCTGAACCATGGGCCCACCCCTCCATCATCCCTTCCCCCAAAGCCCCACTCACAGCTGTCTCTCTCCCACTCCCGAACTGCCCCATCCTCACGGCCAGTAAGGAGTACCCTCCCACCTTCAGAGGTGATAGGATCATGGCCCCCACCCAGGAGGAAACCCACTGCTTTTAACAGGGGCTTCTGCTCCACCCCAACTCTGGTTTTTAGGTAGTGAGGTCAGCTGCTGCAGACTCTCTTTCCTTAGTATTGTTCTGGGGCTCAAGGGAGGTCGTCCACCGAGGAGGCCCTGAAGGGGGCAGTACTTTCCTTAGTATTGTTCTGGGGCTCAAGGGAGGTTGTCCACTGAGGAGCAAAGCAACAGTAGAATCATAGAGCTGGAAGAGACTTCAGGAGGTCATCAAGTCTAGCCCCCTGCACAAGGCAGGGCCAATCCCAACTAAATCAATCCAGCCAGGGCTTTGTCAAGTCGAAACTTAAAAACATCTAGGGATGGAGGTAACCCATTCCAGTGCTTCACCCTAGGTAACCCATTCCAGTGCTTCACCACCCTCCTAGTGAAATAGTTTTTCCTAATATCCAAACTAGACCTCCCCCACTGTAACTTGAGACCATTGCTCCTTGTTCTGCCATCCAGCATTTCTGAGAACAGCCTTTCTCCATCCTCTTTGGAACCTCCCTCCAGGAAGTTGAAGGCTGCTATCAAATCCCCCCTCACTCTTCTGCAGACTAAACAAACCCAAATCCCTCATAGGGCATGCACTCCAGCCCCCTAATTATTTTGGTTGCCCTCTGCTGGACTCTCTCCAATGCGTCCACATCCTTTCTATAGTGGGGGGCACAGAACTGGACACAATACTCCAGATGTGGCCTCATCAAAGCCAAATAAAGGGGAATAATCACTTCTCTGGATCTGCTGGCAATGCTCCATTAGCCTTCTTGGCTACAAGGGCACACTGTTGACTTATATCCAGCTTTTCATTCACTGTAATCCCCAGGTCCTTTTCTGCAGAACTGCTACTTAGCCAGTTGGTCCCCAGCCTGTAACAATGCTTGGGATTTTTCCATCCCAAGTGCAGGACTTTACACTTGTCCTTGTTGTACCTGATCAGATTTCTTTTGGCCCAATCATCAAATCTGTCCAGGTCACTCTGGACCCTATCCCTGCCCTCCAGCATATCTACCTCTCCCCCTAGCTTAATGTCATCCGTGAACTTGCTGAGGGTGTAATCCATCCCCTCATCCAGGTCATTAATAAAGACGCTGAACAAAACTCATCTTAGAACAGATACCTGGAGAACTCCACTAGAAACTGACCACCAACCAGACATTGAGCCGTTGATCGCTATCTCTACACAGCTTTCTATCCATCTTACAGTCCATGTATCTAATCCATATTCCCTGAACTTGCTGGCAAGAATATTGTGGGAGACTGTATCAAAAGCTTTGCTAAAGTCAGGGTATATCACATCCACTGACTTTCCCATATCCACAGAGCCAGTTACCTCATAATAGAAGCTAATCAGATGGGTCAGGCACGACTTGCCCTTCATGAATCCATGTTGACTATTCCTGATCATTTCCCCCTCTTTCAAGTGCTTCAAAATGGATTCCTTGAGGATCCCCTCCAT